GTATGTCATCCACTCTCCCTAGTCACGGGGCTCAGATTCAAAATGGACTTTCTCCCTCTCTCTTAATTAGATTAGCTAGAGGGGTGTGTGTGTGTATATATATATATATATTTGCTAATTTTTTTTTAAACTGAAATCATTGTTGATTTAATGTTTTCCATTCTCTGCATGATTAATCACTGTTTTCACCTTTATTATTTCCTTCCTTGTGATTTCTTTTGGTTTTACATTTTTGTTCATTTTCTAGCTTTTGAGTGGAAATTTAATTCATTTAGTTTCATTCTTTCATTTCTATTGAGTTTTATTGCTATAAGTGCTTAAGACTATGACATTTTCTCTCATCACTGCTTTAATTGTATCCTATAGAGTCTAATAATAAATGTTTATTATTTATTAGAAATTCTGTAATTTTGGTACTGATTTCTCCTTTTACATAGAAAATTTTTAATAGAAGGATTTGTTACTAGGTGGAAGGCCCTTTTTGTTTTCATTATGTTATTCATTTCTAATTTTATGGCATTGTATATAATATTTCTACTTCACAGAATTTACTGAAGCTTTCTTTGTGAAAGCTTACTAACTTAATAGTTGGTCAATTGTTATGAATGTCCCATGTGCACTTGAGAAGAAAGGATATTAGGATGTCATGTTTTATTTATATATTCATGAGATATATCTGATTGATTATGTTGTCTATGTCCTCTACATTCTTACTTTTCACCCACTCAATCTGTTTTATTCTGAGAGATGTGCTTAAAGTTTTCTATTATTAGTGTGTTTCTATTTTTCCTTGCACTTCCTGTAGTTTCTGGCCTATAAAGATGATTGCTGTGTTATTTGGTACATAGATACCCATAACTAATATCTCCATTGCACATTGTAGTTTTTAGCCTTTAAAGATGACTTTTTTTGTCACTTTTAATATTTGTTAGCTTGAATTGTACTTTGCTTGATATTAGGCTTACAACCCCTGCTTTAATTCTTTTGCCTGATACACTTTTGACCATTTATTTTAGCCTTCTGATTCTCTTAGGTGTGATTCTTGTATGCAGCATAAATTGCCTTATGAGCTAACTTAACCATCTTTTTCTTTTAGTTGGTTAGTTAAACTCATTCACATATATTAATATGACTGACATGTTTGGTCTTAATTTTGCCATTTCCCATTTCCCCCACTTCTCCACCCCTGGTAACCACCATTCTACTCTCTGTTTCTACATATTTGACTTTTGGAATTATAATATTAGTTTAATTCTACTTTTCTTGCAGGTTTTTGGTGATTTTTTGAGGTTCCTGATTATTTTTCCCTACATCCTAAAGTCTAATATTTTTACTAGGACATGCTTCAGAGTTAGTTATTCCAAGACAATTTCCCCAGATATTCTGTGGGTCTTTGAATATATAGATTCAGGTCTTTCTTTATTTCCAAAGACTTTTCTTGGATTACGGTTTTAAACACTG